TGTTCCAAGCTTCTCTACCTTCTCAAATTGCTCGTGCCTTGAAATTTTCTTGGAAATGGTTTAGAAAAGCCAAAAATTTGATTTTTCTGAAATGATTTTCAGTTGTGTTCCGCAATTTTAGACCGGCCTCTTAGACCTTCTCAGCTCTAATTTTCATTCCCAAAAATTGCCATCGCTTTTTAGCAATTTCATAGGATCTTTGGCATGCAACTCATGTGCACAACCTCTCATTTTCAATGCATTGTTGAAATGTTCTTAATCTCATTCATGCATTGAAGAGATGTTCCAAAGCTTGAAAATTTTCTCAAAATCATCCATGCATTGTGTGAGGTTTCAAAAGTTGGGAAATCTTCTTGAAATCATCCATGCACTCATTGAAAAAAAAAAAAAAAAAAAAAAAAAAAAAAAAAAAAATTGTACAATTTGAAAAATTTTCTAAATTTTCCATGCATTGCAATGAAGTGTAGAGTTTGACAATTTACCCTCCTTGCATTAAAATGGATTAAAGTTCAAAAGTTGAAAGTTCATCCATGCAATATTGCATTTTTGCATGCATAGACACCTTGCTTGCATGCATTCCATTCATTTCTATGTTGCATGCATTTTTTTTTTATGTTGCATGCATTTCTATGTTACATGCATTCCATGCCTTTCTTTGTTACAATCTTACATGATGGATGGATGGTTAGAAGCACCATGCATGGCAATCCATCAAATGAATTCATCCATGCACTCAAAATGCAGCCATGCAATCCATCCATGCAAGATCATCCATGCATTCAAGTTGGCTGAAACATTCCATCTCCATGTGCCAATTCATTTACAAGCTACTGAGCCAATTTCGTGCACTCTAAATTCCAATTTGAGTGCTCCAAATTCTTCAACCCACAATGCTGAGCCTACTGCCTTCATTTAGAGCACTCTAGCTACCATTTGGATTGCTCCAAACTTCTTCACCATCATTCCGAGGCTGCTGCTTGTATTTAGAGCACTCTAATTCCATTTTAGAGTGCTCTAAATGTGAACCAATCTTGCATGCACCACTGCTCAATTTTAGAGCACTCTAAATTCCATTTGGATTGCTCCAAATTTTCAGCCCAACTTCCCAACCCACTACCTCATTTTCGAGCACTCTCAATTCCTGTTAGAGTGCTCAAATTTCCTGCACTAACCATGCCGAGCCCACTGCCTTCAATTCGAGTGCTCGCAGGGTCAGTTCGAGCACTCGAATCTGCTTCCTCACTCTCTTGTCCACCACTTCCATGCATGCTTACCACAACCCAAACCAACAACCCAGCTCTCGGCATCCCTCACTTCACTACCCTAACTCCTTTCAACCTCATCAACCTCAACACCAACCATCTCACCTCCACCCTCTGCATTAAACCAACCTTCTCACAACCCACAGCAACCTCTCTTTACACAACCGAGCCCCTCCACCTCACACCAACTCCAACCTCATGCATCCCATTCTCGGCCACCCTCACAAACCACCACCCACCCAGCCGAGCACCAATTCACCATCCTTGCTTCCCTCACCACCATGCAAGCATACCCCAACCCCACCATCCCAACCCTCTCCAATACCCCAAGCCCATCTCAGCTTCAACCTCCAAAACCCACCACCCATCCAACCTTCTTGCATTCTCTAAAAAAAAAAAAAAAAAAAAAAAAAAAAAAGAAAAATTATTATAGATTTCTATCTTTTATTACAATTCCTGTTAGTCCTATTTTTTTGTTTGTTCTCCTTCTCCTTACGAGACCAATGCTTTTACCTGTATATTTTAGTTGTGTTTTGATAGGTCTTCATATCCAAGTTTGGGGGACGACGTTGCGCACTCACATGGCTGAACATCTACGTCATCATCACTCGACTTGGTATTATTGTTCTTTAACCCTCTCTGTTCTTATTTTCATTTACTTGTCTTCTCACATTGAGGACAATGTGACATTCAAGTTTGGGGGTGTATTTATGCATTTTTGGTTTCATAATTTTTGCTAAGCAATGATAGTATAACTTGACACTAGTTGGAGATGAAGCATATGTTTAATACCTTGTGTATAGAAGCAATTGACATTTTTGAAAATAAAGAAATTTTTGAGTTGAAATGATCATGTGGATTCAAATTAGTCTATATAAATGTCTCAATTAGATTCTCGCTGGATTTGACACTCTTTTAAGCTTCACAATGCACATATGCACATTGAAAACTTAACTGTGAGGCATGCAACTTGATCAACCTTGACCTTGGCCTAGTTAATCTGATTTGATGAACTTGATAGATGAATATCTTTGGCATGATTTAAGTTGTCTAAAAAAAAAAAAAAAAATCTGAGAAAGAAAGAAAATAATGACCAGTTGACGTTCGTAGCCTTTCCAACTCGAGTTATTAAGCCCTAGGAGTGTCTCTACACTTAGCACCCTAAAGCCGTCTGGTTTGGGAGTTGTTAGCCTAACGCTTGCTACAAGGGTTGGTTATAAAGCTTAAAGGACTGAAACATTGCACCGTTATTCAAAAAAATTTGTAATAAACATGGTTCGTTGGAGTCCGTAGCCTTTCCAACTTGAGCTATTAAGCCCTTTGGAGTGTCTCTACACTTAACACCCTAAAGCCATCTGGTTTGGGAGTTGTTGGCCTAACGCTTGCTACATAGGTTGGTTAGAAAGCTTAAGGGACTTCAGCATTGCACAACCATCTTATGTTTCACTTCTGAGTTACAATAAATTGTCAACAAGCAACAAAAGTTGTTTTGTAAATAAAATCATGCCTTAGGGACCTCATTTAAAGGGGAATTCAATGATTTGAAAACTTGTACTTTGGAATTGGAAAAGAAAGTAAAAGCCGCATGTTGAGAATCCAATCCACTTTCACTGAAGTTAGAGTTGATTTCCATTTAAGAGATGACAATTGAGTTATTTATATGGACTATGATGTTGATACATGCATGTTGAAATGTGTTTAGTATCAATGCTTCATATATGCAAGGTAGTCTTCCCAATGACCCCATCTCCAGCTCTTTTTCTGTTTCAAGTTATTTTTGAGCTATGTATATATCTCATTTTACCATGGATGATATTTTTGTAGTAGCATGCCCATGGTTGTCTTTTCATTAAGTTTTTCATTGTAGTTTTGCTAAGGGACTAGCAAAATGTAAGTTTGGGGGTGTGATAAGCGCCGAATATTGCATATTCAAGCGCCCTTAATTGCATTAGTTAAGTCCATTGTTTGTTTAATTATATAGATTACTTTCATTTGTATGTTTTTGTACATTTTCAGGTTCAATTGCAATAAAGGAGCAAGAAGGGTGTTTTGTAGAGTTTTTGAATATCAAGGTGCCAATTCTGAAATTCTGGAAGCAGTGAAGCCCGAACTTTGTTTGCCATTTTGACCTACCAAACTCGAGAACTGGACTTCCCTCATAGCATGACATATTTAGAGCTCTGAATCAGCTTTCCAAATCTTCAAGCGGTTTGTCATTCGGAGTTCGGAGCAGGGAGTTATGATCTTCTTATTAGAGGTGCTTAGAACTGCCTGACAGCAATGAAAGTCTGCCTTGTTCTTCAATTTTGACCAATCATACTTGAGAATTGGATCTCCACCAAAACATAAAGTTTTTAGAGCTCTGAATTAGCTTTCTAAATCTTTAAACGGTTTGTCATTCTGAGTTCGGAGCACAAAGTTATAGCCGTTTTACCAAAGTAGGTCTAGGCAAAGCAAAGCAAGCATGGAGCAATCTGCTCCAATTTCGAGTGCTCGAGGCCTTGCTTCGAGTGCTCAAATTCAGGCAGAATTGCCTTCGGGAATTCTTAGTTTGGCAGCCACTTATGCATTGGTTTCCTCATTTCTACTTACTTCTTTATGAGGTGGTTGGGGATGTTTTTTGGAAGGGAGAGAGAGGCCTTACCTATACAAAAGAAGAGAAGGGAGGCCACACATTAGGAATCTCACTTTTGGATCAGATTTTTGGGGGGGGGGGGGGGGGGGAGAGAGAGGAGCAAGAGGAGAGTTCTTGGAGCAAATAAAGTGGAGCTCGAAAATGGAAGGAGGATCCATGGTTCTTCTTCATTCTAAGGCTCCCATGTGTAACTAACTCCTCCTCTAGGGAGGTAATGGAACCCCTCATTGTAAGCATGCTTTACTTTTGATTCTAGTTTGGGGAAAATAATGTATTTTTGTGGTGATTCCATAATCTAGAACTCTTACTTGATGTAATGAATTGATTTTGATTTAATGATCATGTTGGACCTACTTTCTTGTCTTAGAATGTATGTTTTCATGGTTGTATGGTTTACATTTTCATGGTGACAATGAAGATGAGATTTTTGGAATGGTTTTAATGGCATGTTGTTGAGAGATTTGATAGGTCATAGCTTAGGTTCTTCCTTTGATGGCTTATTCTTAATTCTTAGCTTCATGTGCTCTTATCATGTGATTGATGGTTTGACAATTTTTAGCTTAGTGAACATGTCTTAAATTACACTTTAGTTTAGGTAATTGAGCATGTAAAATCTTTGATAAATTGTTCTTGCCTATTGATTCCATGAATCCTTTGAAGGTAATGTAGTAACCATGAGTAACTACTTATCATAGCCACATATTTATGTTGTTTTTCCCCGAATGAATCATATTCTAGCATGTTTATATTGTAGGTGGTGAAGTTACTTCCCTAGTCTCTTTTACCCACATTTTATCTCTTTTAAATTCTTGCAAGTTCTTAATGTATGCATCTTTACATTCCTATCTTTAGTGACAAACAAACACTCTATACCCCTTCATCATCCTAAGAATGACTCTAGACACTTAGGTTGCCTTAGACTAGCGCAGTCCCAGTGGTTCGACTTACCCGACCAATAGCCCTATTTTACAATGATTCGTGCTATTGCGAAGGTTGATGTATAGTTGATCAACCGATCATCTACGACGGTTCAAGCCTTCAAGTTGGCCATGACTCGGGGCACCCCGTTCCACACAAGCCTGGTAGTGAACACGCCGAAGACTATGGATGAACTCAATGAAAGAGCTGATGGTTTTGTGCACTTGGAAGAAGAAGAAGCAGCCAACGCTCGGAAAACGTCCATCATATCAACCGAAGAGAAAACCAAAGCAGAGATCAAGCAAAAACAGGCTCAGTCACAGCGTCAGACCTCCTAGAAGGTAGAGAAGAGGCCCAGAGAGGAAGAGTTGATTACTCCGCTGAAAGTCACTTTGGTGAGGCTATACCAGGAAAATAAAGATAAGTTCCATCCACCCCTGCCAATTCGGCAACCCCTCGAACAGAGGGATCAGACTAAACACTGTGTTTTCTATAGCGATTTTGGTCACCAGACTAACGAATGTAGGAACTTAAGGAGGCAGGTGGAGATGCTGATAGCCAGAGGGGAGTTTGTAAGTTATATCCAAGGACCGGCGGCAGAACAGAACCGACCGATTGAGCAAGTAAAGAGGAACCAAAAGTCAAACTCCCATAGCGCGCAACCAGTTCGGATCATAAATGTAATTTATGGTCGGCCTGAACCTAGCGAGGAGTCAGACGAGCTACTCCGAACATTCCTCCGCCAAGCGCAGATGAAGAGGAGGATAAGTAGTGTAAACGCTCTACACCAACAAAATACGTCAACACAAATAAAGTTTGACAAAACTGACCTGTTCCGCGTTCAGATTCCTCACGAGGATCCACTAGTCGTCAGTTTGACAGTGGTAGAATACCTGGTACGAATAGTTCTGATTGATCCTGGAAGCAGCGCGAATGTTATGCAGAGGGACACGTTCGATCGGCTCGAAATCAAGCCAGAGAAGCTCAAGCCTACCGGAAATTCCTTGCTAGGGTTTGATGGAAAATGAGTGGAACCCGTCGGTATGGTAGAAGTAACAGTTCAGGCTGCAGAAAGAGTTATGACAGAGAGCTTTGTTGTTGTCAAGATCTATCCCTCTTACAGCCTTCTGATAGGCAGAGGGTGGATTCACAAAGTCTAAGGTGTTCCCTCAACTCTACACCAAGTAATGAGATACTTGGGGCCAAATGGAACCAAAGTGATTAACATTCACGGGGACCAAGTGGCAGCCAAGGAATGCTATTCTGTGACGCTGAAATCTACTAAAAAGGGCAAAACCCCCGTCCGTTCTGCAAGCCCAAGATAGCAATTACAGGAACCTCTACCCAACAAGACTGGGGAGGAGGAGCCTATGAACTTGACTGAAGAGCCCCTTGTTGATGTGCAGATCGAATATGACAAGCTAAACTGAACAACCAGAGTGGGAGTATGACTTGCCGAGGGGGAGAAGCAGGAATTAATTGATTTCTTGTCTCACAACGCTGATGTGTTCGCATGGAGCCACTCAAACATGCTAGGGATCAGCCTTTCTGTATCCTATCACTCCCTCAACGTCAATTCGAATGTAAAACCTGTAAGGCAAAAGCAGAGAAGATTCGTTCCAGAACGCAATCAGATCATAGCCGAGGAAGTTGATAGGTTGCTTGATACAGGGTTCATTAGAGAAGTGCATTACCCATATTGGCTTTCAAATGTTGTTGTTGTGCATAAAAAGAATGGGAAATGGCGAGTATACATCGACTTCACCAATCTTAACAAAGCTTGTCCAAAGGATAGCTTCCCGTTGCCAAAGATTGATCAAATGGTGGATGCCACTACTAGGTACGAACGTTTAACTTTCTTTGATGCTTATTCGGGCTACAATCAAATCCCCATGGACCCCGCTGATGAAGAGAAAACTTCTTTCGTTACCGAATGAGGGACCTATTGTTCCAAAGTTATGCCGTTCGGACTAAAAAATGCTGGGGCAACTTATCAGAGGCTAATCAGCAAGATTTTCAAGGACCAGATGGGGAAGACTATAGAGGCTTACATTAATGACATGGTGGTGAAAAGTAAGAAGCGAGTTGACCATTTGAAACATCTGAGGACGTGTTTAATATATTGAGAAGATATGGAATGAAGCTTAATCCAACCAAATGCTCATTCAGTGTGAGCTCTGGTCAATTCTTGGGACATGTGGTTAATCATAGAGGAATAGAAGCTAGCCCAGCCTAAGTAAAAGCTTTGACCAAGATTGCCGAATCGAAGACAATCAAAGAAGTACAAGCCCTCACAGGTCGGATAACTGCATTAAACCGATTCATTTCTAAGTTGTCAGATCACTACAAGCCATTCTTTGACATGATACTAAGCCATGGGAGACAGGCCTAGGGGGATGAACAGCGACAAGCACTAACTAGTTTGAAAGAATATATGTAGAACCCTCAGGTCCTATCTACTCCTGAACCAAGAGAAAGTCTATTTTTGTACCTCGGGGTATCCAGTATTGGGACGAGTGCCGTTCTGACCCGTTGCAAGGAAGGAACACAATACCCAGTGTTCTATGTTAGTAAAACAATGACCGAGGCGAACGAAGAAATTCAAAGGCCGAACAAGTGATTCTTTCGCTCATAAATGCAAAAAGGAAGCTCAGGCATTATTTTGAATCCCATCCTATCATCGTTCTAAACACTTTTCCAATCAGAGTAATCCTGCACAAGCCAGACCACTCAGGGAGAGTGACAAAGTGGGCCATAGAGTTAAGCTCGTTTGACATAACGTATGAACCCAGAACGGCTATCAAAGGGTAAGCAGTGGCTGATTTCTTACTAGAGTGTGACTCAGAAGATGCAGAGGAAGACCTTCAAAGTTGTTCGTGGAAACTCTTTGTTGATGGTTCCTCAAATCAGATGGGGGCAGGCATTGGGGTCAAACTGCAGACACCAGAAGGCACGTCCCTAAGTCAAGCGCTCAGACTTGAATTCCGAGCCACCAATAATGAAGCAGAATATGAAGCGTTGTTGATTAGACTCAAGCTAGCTAAAGAGCTGAAGGTCAGGAATTTAACTGCTTTTAGTGACTCACAACTGACTGTTCGGCAGGTGAATAGCGAATATGAAACCAAAGACGAAACGATGGAAGCTTACCGTTCTGCCGTTATGCGTGAAGCCAAAGGCTTTGAAAAAATTGAATTCATCCAATTGCCAAGGGAGCATAACGAAGATGCCGATCGGTTAGCATGCAGTGCTTCAAGTTCTGGATAGACATTGGCGAGGGTGATTCCAGTAGGTATACTGTGCCAGCCATCCATCTTAGAAGAACCCTCATGCTCAGATCCCTGGCAGGTGAATGTCATTCCGTATGAGCCAAGTTGGATAGATCCGATCATAACTTATATGAGATGGTGTTCTGCCCGAACAAAGGGATAAAACTAGGAAAGTCAAATCAAATGCTGCAAAGTATGCTATAATGCATAACGAGTTGTACAGGAGATCTTTTTCCGGGCCATATCTGAAATGTGTGACACCCATAGAAGCTCAGCAGATATTGCGAACTACCTTGTGTTAAAATTTGACATTTAAGGGACATTTTTTGTCCCGTGAATAAGTAAAAAGAGTTTTCCCCCTTTTTTTTACCCTCCCGCTAAATTGGGCACAATAAAAATTACACTAAAATTTTTTTTACAGCGTTTTAAAGTCCTCGTGGATATTTAAATATATTTAAGAGATTTTTATTTTGTCCCGTGAATAAGTAAAAAGACTTCCTTCCAATTTTTTTATCCTCCCATCAAATTGGGCATAATTAAAATTGCACTTTATTTATTTATTTATTTATTTTTAACGGCATTTTAAAATCCTCGTGGATATTTAATAACATTTAAGGGATAGTTTTTGTCCCGTGAATAAGTAACTTCCCTCCAAATTGGACACAATTAAAATTGCATTTTATTTTATTTTATTATTTTATTATTATTATTTTTTAACGGCCTTTTAAAATCCTCGTGGATATTTAATAACATTTAAGGGATATTTTTTGTCCCGTAAATAAGTCAAAAGACTTCCCACCAATTTTTTTACCATTCCGCCAAATTGAACACAATTAAAATTGAACTTTATTTATTTATTCATTTTTAACGGCCTTTTAAAATCGTCGTGGATATTTAATAACGTTTAAGGGATATTTTTTGTCCCGTGAATAATTTGAAAGACTTTTATTTCTATCTTTACCAATCTCACTCATCCGAGAGCCCTAGGTTTCTTTCAGTCTCCCCAATCGCCTCCATCTCTCCCTCTGCAACTCCCCCCAATCGCCTCCATCTCTCTTTGCAACTCCCCCCAATCGCCTCCATCTCTATGTTTGTTCTCAACATCTCTATTCTCGTTCTCAATTCTGAACTTGCCCCTCTCTCTCTCTCTCTACAACTCCCTAATCACCTCCATCTCTATTCTCGGTCTCAACTCTGTAGCCGATTCGAAGTTGGTCTGCGTTGCGAGTGAAGCTCTTCCACTTCTCTGACGAGTCACTGGCGAAATCGCCAGTCAAGTACACCTCTTGGTCTTGTCCTTCTCCCTTAGCATCATCATCATCAAATTTATAGACACATATGTGTTCATATACATCTAAAATGTGAGGTTTTGGTAGAAAATGGTAAATTTTAATTGGCTAATATTTCATAATTTCAGCTATGTCTTTGGTATTGTGTCTTCTAGGTTTTGGGTTCTAAAAGGAAATTATTTTTTTAAAGAAAATCAAAACCCATATCTTTCCGTTTCCATTGCCCGCTGTTCCAAATCGGGTTCGCCGTTCGCAGGCTTCAACTGCTGGCCCGCTATCTCTCAACTCTCAAGCTTACCCCCCTCTCTCTTTGCAACTGCTAACTTGTATGTATGGGTTTTGTTTTAATTTTTTTTTTCTTTTCTAAATCTACTAATCAAGCTCTATAAATTTTTTCTCTTAAATGGTATGCATCAGTCCCTTTTTGAGCAAGATTTTTAATGGTTTTCTATATTTAACAAATGCATTCGACCCATTATATGTTTATCAATTGCTTTTGAGCATTATGTGTGTGGGTGTTTTGATTTTTTTTGTTGCTTTCAGTTGATTAATTGTTTCATATATAGATACATATATATTGGAATCTTGAGGATCAAAATTTATGTGTATATGTTTTGCTATATTATGGGTACTGTCCGTACATGCTATATGTGTGTGTGTGTATATATATATATATATATATATATATATATATATATATGATATTATATTTGATATATAAGGCTTAAAATGTTTGGGATTGGAGTCTTATGGCATGCTTTATTTCTATAGTTTGGGTTTTTTTTTTTGTTTTTTTTGTTTTATGCACCACAGACCCTTATTGATTCAAGATTTTAAATGGTTTATCAACTGCTTTTGATCATTTTTTTTTTTTTTTTTTTTTTTATGCATCACAGACCCTTTTTGAGTCATTACTTATGGAACTCACTTTCTTTTATATAATGTTGGTGGTGGCAATAAAGCTTATGATGATTATTCCAAGTACCCTTTTTCTTTTGAGCTTGCAAAGAATTTTATAGGAACTGAGATTTGCAATAGATTGTCTATGATGTCATTGAGATGGAGAGCTTCAACAATGTTAAGCAATGGTTGAATGAGATTGATAGATATGCAAATGACACTGTATGCAAGTTTTTCTGGTGGACTCCGCTAACTACCTCGTTGGTCAGGTTCTTTCTCTGTTTCCGAGTGCTATATTTTCAGCGAGATGTGTGAATGTTACTTGTGGTTTAGGGGACCTCATGTTTCAGTATAGTACTATTCATTGTAGTTTGGTAACAATATTCACGTCTTATTTGAAACAATTAATTATCACTCGCTCTATTTCTTTCTTTTTTCAAATATTCCCAGCAAAACTATATTTGTCATGAGTTAGATTAACGGTTCTGATGCCTTACCAAAATTCATTTTTCTGGAATTATGAGTCATCTTTATAAAATTAGAGTTATCTTTACTAATATAATTTTCAGTTCT